TATTGCAAAATCTCAACTTTATTTTCCTTTATCATTGACCCCTCTTTTCTTTACAGGGTTGTGGTCTTAAAGATAAGAAAAATGCAAATGTTTTAATTATATAGCAGGAATCTTTTGGCTGTGGCACCCTGGTGGCACAGTGGTTAACAGCTTGGCTGCTAACCAAAAGATCGGCAGTTTGAATCCACTAGCCGCCCCTCAGAAACCGTATGGGGGGCAGTTTTACTCTGTCCTTATAGGGTTGCTAGGAGTTGGAATCGACTCGATGGCAACGGGTTTGGTTTTGTTTTTTTTTTGCTCTGGTCTGATGAATATTTCACAACTGAGACATCAACAATATGCCTCACTGCTTTCAAATTAATCTCAATTGAAAAGGTTTGTGCAGAGGGTCTTTTTCATAGAGCTTCATGCCATGTTTTCACCATAACTCTGGAAGACATTTAATTTTGCTGATACAGTGAAACCTATAAGAGCTGGAACTCAATGCAACTGCCTTGTATTTCCGGGTCTTGCAAGTTGTCCGCCTCCGACGGTACAGTCACCATTTTTCTATCGTTCTCTATTTAGTGGAAAATATTTGAGTTTTCTTCTCTGACAGGTTTCTACCTTGCACAGGTTCTGGCTTCTGAAACTTTTACTGTACTTAATATGCAGCCTTTAATTACCCACTGTCCTGGGAACATTATTTTTATTTCATATGTAAATGAAGATGTGAAGTATATATACATATAGATATCATATAATTTATAATATACATAAGCGGATGATATATGGTACACCGCAAGGAAAATGGGCTTTGGGGAATGTTTTAGTAATTATGTGTTTCAACTCCCTCATGTTCCAACCTACTTTATAAGAATTCTTATTAAAAATTGTAGAATAGCAGGGAGAACTATAAGTCACAATAAAATATCTCATGTTTTTAAGTTGGAAATTTGCTCAGCAAGTCTAACATACTCCTACTAGGCAGGGACTCCAGGACTTTGGTTACTGAGATACACAATTTTATGCAGTAGATGGGATTGAAAAATCCTATTTCCTTAACTTTAAGACCACACAAACTCCTCCACAAAAATAATTTGCCATATTTTTAAAGTCCAAAGACATTCTACCTTTCCAAATTACCTGCTAAGTTACTTGATTGCAGATGTTATTATTCATGTGTCAATATGTTCCATTTTATAATTGCTTCCTTCTGTTTTATAGTTAATCGAAGTTGAAACAATCAAATTGTCATTCTTTAAAATCCTGGGAGTCAGCCACATCCAACTGGCTGCCAGAGTCTATAAACTTATTTTCAATGCAACAAATATTTATCAAGCAATAACTATAGTCTAGAGGTCGCCTGGAAACCCTGGTAGCATAGTGTTTCAGAGCTATGGCTGTTAACCAAAAGGTCAGCAGTTAGAATCCACCAGGCGCTCCTTGAAACCCTATGGGGCAGTTCTACTCTGTCCTGTAGGGTCGTTCTGAGTTGGAATCGACTCGACGGCAATGGGTTTGGTTTTTTGTTTCGGTTTAGGGGTCGCCATGAGCTGGAATAGATTTGACAGCAACTAACAACAACAAAGACACGGTGCGAGGGATACAGATCTGTACAGGGTGATCCACTACCTTTACGGCGTGCACTTGAGACAAAACGAAGGGGCAAGTCTGACCACATAGCAAATGCATATATACAAAGTACAAAGCTGGCACAGAGGCAGTAATACTGAGGGGCAAGGGGCAGGCAGGGTTCAGGGAAGACTAATTAGAGGGGGTAACAACTGAGCTATTTTAAAAGATAAATAGGATTTTACCACACAGAAAAGGCAGGGGTAGGCAGGGAATAGAGTTTCATGTTGATAAGAGGCTGAGATACAGGAAAAATCATGAAATTTGTAGAAATAGGAGTAGTACAGTACAGCTGAAGCATAAAGCATAAATAAGGAAAGAAACAGAAGATCAGGCAGGATTGGTAACAGTGCCAGATTGTGAAAAGTCTTATATGCCAATCTAAGGGGATTAAATTATTATTTTGAAGGCAACTGGGAAGAAGAGATAGGAAATAAAATGAAGAATTTTTAAGCAGGGAGTAGCATGGCCAGGCTTATTTTTAAGAAAAACTGTCAGCAGTGTCATGGAGAGACTGAGGGATTCTGCTAAGAAGTTATGGTTTTGCTTACCGTAAGGTGTGCTCAGGGCCTAAACCAGTTAAGAGGGAAAGAAAAGGGGACGATGGATTGGAGAGGAATTATTGGTGTGAAGAGCAGGGCTTTAGAACCAGGCATTCACCCACTGTGCAACCCCAGGAAAGCAAGTGAATCTAAACACCCATTTCAACCGTGAAATGGACCAAATATTAGTACCTTCCTCACAGGGTTGTTGTGAAGATTAAATGGCAGGAGGGGGGACTGCACGAAAAGCATTTAGCAATTTAGCATCGTGCCTGGCGCAAAACAAATGCTCAGTAAATGCTAGCTACTATTATTACTGCAAGTATAAGGGAGGAGGGTTTGAGAATGACTCCCAGCTAGCTCTGGAATCTAGCTGCCACTGCTTTTCAGTCCTACAACCAACGCCCTTTGTATAGACCAGTGGTTCTCAAAGTGCAGCAGCATCACCTGGGAATTTGTTAGAAATGCAAATTCTCAAGCCCCACTAGGAACTACTCAGTCAGAAACTCTAGCGGTGGGGCCCAGCAATCTGTATTTTAACAAGCCCTTCCAGGGGATTCTGACATGTGCTGAAGTATGAGAATTGCTGGATTAAACATTTGTTATGTCCAGCCTGAGCTCCACAACTGCCTCTTAAGAGTGTCCCTTCTACCTCCCAGCATCTCCTCGTTGAATCTTGCATCCACATTGGTAGTTGACTTCCTAGAAAACATGCCGCTCCCTCTAACCAGTATATGAATACCTACTCTGACTTGTATGAAATGTTCAGCAAGTTCATTTCACCTGAGTCTCAGTTTCCGTTAAGTAAAAAGGGGACTTTAAACATGACATAAAGTATCTAAAATAGCACCTGTCACCTAGGAGACGTTCCATAAATGATGGCTATTATTATTATTGTACCTACCATCTCCTTTGGTCCTCACAACGTAAGAACTACTACTGTCAGACAAACCCTGGTGGCGTAGTGGTTAAGAGCTATGGCTAACCAAAAGGTCGGCAGTTCTAACCCACCAGGCGCTCCCGGGAAACCCTATGGGGCAGCTCTCCTCTGTCCTATAGGGTCTCTCTGAGTCGGAATTGACTCAATGGGAATGGGTGGGATGGGGTATTGTCAGAAATTAAGTAACTTGGTTAAAGCTACCCAACTTGATAAAGGAGTCAGGACTAGAACACAAATCTTCCTGATTCTGAATTCTGATTGTTTCCATCAGACAGGCTGTTTCTACCCTATCAAGAACATTTATTCCAAAATACTGTCAATTTGATGCACTATTTCCAAAAAGGAAAATTCATCTTCTTTAGAAATGGATGGTTGACGCTACATGGAAGTTTTTCAATGGTAGCTTTCAGTAAAAAGTAAATAATAAAATAAGTGTATTTCCCTGTTATCTGAATTTGACTGTTTATACTAAGTGCAGAAATAGTTGAAATGAAAAAGCAATTCCTTTATTTTTCGTCTTTATTTGATCACCTTTATCAAACACACATCAGAAAGCGTATCAACAGTGCATCTTATGGTGAGTCAGTTTACAGCTAAACTGAACAAGGCAATTGTGTTTACAGGAAAAGTTTTCAGCAAAAAACTACACAATACAGTCAACTGTAACGCAGTGTTCATACTTTTTAGGTATTTAGGGAAGTGGACAATAAAAGTTCTTTGCTACTCAGCAAGAAAAAAAACAAGTTTAAAAGACTTGAATGGAAACCAGAAATTTAGGGCTTTGGGAAAGGATCTTCTTGGTATTGACACACATGTACATTTATAGTCCCACTTAGTTATTTAAAATCAAAATCCTCACAAACAATAAGACATCGCCAAGAACAGAGAACCATAGTGCCAAGAAATGCCAAGACCAATATGCTATAGAATCAACTGGTAGAAATGTTACAGACAGCAAGTCACTATGTGCTGTAATATTCTTGTAGTTCTGAGGTGAAGGTAAACCAACAGGAGAGAATACTCCTTATAACTGGCTTTGGTTTAAGTGATGTTTCACATTTTTTCCAGCCATACCTTCTTACCAAAAACACAGCAATTACGTATTATTGAGGGAAAACGGTAGTAGGTTTTAATATTCACAACCAACCACTCCAGTGCTGATACAGGAAGCCATAAACTGTTAAAATTTATTGATTACAACTGGATTTCTAAAAGTGATCAAAGGTAGCAAAGACGGAGCCCTTTTTTTTGGGGGGGTGGAAATCACGCTACCCCAGCTTTGACAACGTTAAGAGGATATAAAGGAATATTAAATTATTTAAGATTTTTCAAAGAAAGGAATTAAGAATCGACAAGTAAATCCTGCAAGAAAAGATCCAACAGTTTTATAGTCTGCAAAGTAAATATTTTACAGAGATGGAGCTTCACTTTTTCTTGTTATAATAAATAAACACCACTTACTTCCACAAGGTGCTGTAACTCTGCAGCTAGTTCATACTAATGCCACCTACTGTACCCAAGGGGCAAATGCAAACACGGAGATGGTTAATCCCGTTCTTTCTGACCTTAATCGGCATGAGTGCTGATGTACACCAAACACACAAAAGCTGGAGTTCAAATGTTTTTAAAAATTAGGCCAAACGGAACATGGGCATTTAATTTGGTTTCATAAGCTTTTACAGTAATTTTCTAGGAGAACAATGAGGGATGTGTAGGAAGCCAATGTTTCTCTGCTACAGGTACCACACCTGGATTTTAAAAAATAAATATCATTTTTAGATTATATAATAGTAGTAAGAAAGGAAGCCATTTTCTTTCCCGCATCTCGCTATTTTCATTCTCTCTCTCCTCTCTACTCTTAAATCTGGCAGACTTCTGACAACCAGTGCTAATAAAATAATATGGCTATAGATAATTCAAATAACTGAAGAGATTCTGACTCCACATATGCACGATTTTAGAATACCTCATTACACTTGCTTTTACAAGCTCACTGTTCCTGCTATCACCAGTATTAGTAAAGGAAGATAACTTAGAAGGGGAAGGCAATTTCAATCTGGGATAAAAAGTGAATACAAATAATTCTTTTGCCAACAATCAAGAGCTTATGGTAGCAAATAGCTCTGATTCTTATGTAGAGGATCCCCACCTCCACCCCCCCAAAAAAAAAAAAAAAAAAAAACCCAACCAAGCAAACAAAAAATAGCTAGTCCAGCTTGTTTTTTTTTCCAGAATGTGACTTATTTTTGTTATAACAAAATAAGTTCTCTTCTGCACAATAAGGATTAATGGTCACACAGGGCAAACAAGACAGACTACTTCCCTTTGCCCTTAAATTAAAATTACTATGAACCTAGGTCATAAAATATACATGGCTTTCAAAATCATCATCCTTTTTTCTTCAGAGTACTGTGACAGCCACCGTATTTAACGAGAAATAACACTCGGGCAATCATTCGATAGCAGAATTTCTGACGCCACAAACACAACTGCCATGATTATGACAACCCTCTGAAAAGCACAAATAAAGCAAATTTAAAGTATTAATCCTCATATAAGCAGCAAAGGGAACAACAAAGTGCTCAGCTGTAGGAAAATGAATAAAAACTTCATCAGGAGAACGAAGGTTGTGTAAACTACTGATCTATCTTATACGCTGAAGGTCACCTGAATCACCACCTATAAAATATAAAATTTCCCAAATGCTTTCTGGTTTACAGACATTTCTTTTACAGGCCATTTCTTCTATAAAATTACAATAAAAATAGTTAAAATTGTTTCCTTTCTTCTTAAATATCCATAGTACTTTTCAATTACATGCCACTGTGAGAATCTACCGGTCATCATATAATTTAAAAAATAGTGAAAAACAATGTGGGGAAGGTGACTGGGATAATAAACGTGATATATTCTGTGGTATCAGGTAAGCTAAAACAAAACAAAATCTCCATAATTCTGGATATTCCAAAAACAAAAATAGCCACGGTTCTCTATGACAATGAAAATGTAATTTACTCAAATATACCACAAAAGGCTCAGATGAGTTCCATATTATGGAGGCTGAACATTTTTATATTCATGGAGAAAGCTAAGAACTAATACTAACTTGAAAGACTACCATCTCACAATAAAGGTGATTTACTGAGCACCTTAAGAGGAAATGGAACATTTTTTGAGCTAATTGTAACCGAGGGCTGGTCTGTATGTGACCACACTTGACGAGAAATAAATAAATGATATCAGAGAGATAGTGGAATAAGATTTGCAGAAAGAACCTGATATTAAAAATGGAACTAGAACCAAGGGTTAAGATTCTGCCAGATAATTCTGGCTTTCCATCATGGGTAATATTGGAAAAAATAAAATACAAACAGTTTTACACACACACATACACACAAAATGTGAACCAAGGAAATTTTGGACTTTTATACTGCTTGAGTCAATCTATCCATGGAAAAGGCAGAGGTGCAATTAATTATTACCATCTGGGAAGCTTTCACCCAAATGAGTTTTAATATTTTCCAGTAAACAGAAGGCACTTGCATAAATCTTTGACTATCTACACATGCACCAGACTAAAGTCATGATGTGATTCCATCTGTGCCCTAATCTGAATTAAGTCACCTAGCACGCACCCTGGCACAAGATTCTAGGTAAAACGCTTGGGTATAGAGGTCTCTCCCGATCCTCCGCCCGGTGACTATGTTGTTGTGATGATTATCAGTTACTATGGTGCTGAGTTTCAAGAAATTAATTATAAAAAATACAATATCATGCTGCCCAGTATAACTGATAGTAGAAATTATGAAGGCTAGGCCTAATTTAAAAGTCAGAACGTAAGACCTAAGAAGAAAATGATGCCCAAACTTTATAGTTAGCTGTAATTGGTTAATGAACTCAAATGAACTCTGAAAGAGCATTCTCTGTGATGAATGCTATCACTCTGCCTTCAAGTCATCCCAGAAAGATAACTGATGCCCTTACCAGGGTAAGTAATTTTCTGGGAGAACAAGTGTGGCAAGACAGAAACAAACCTTACATCCATCGTTTCTCTTAAACTTCCTTTAGATGGCAGCACTACTTCTGGCAGCATTGCTTATGATACATTTGCTCAACAATTAAAATATAAGTAACATGGGTCTATATGCAAGTTAAATGAGAATTCAGAGTTCTTTTTTTATAAAAGGTAATTTATCATATCTCAGTACTCTTTAGCAGCTAAAGTACCAAAAGGAGGCAATTCTTGTCTCAACGAGAACACACACAAGAGGGTGAGTAAAACTATTTTTATGGGTTTTATTCTATAGTAATCGTTCAGAGTGTTGGCTCAATAGCAGAAGGGAATTTCTCTAGAAAGACTTGCTATACTGATGGCCGTAAAACAAGGAAGACATCCAGTGGTAATAAATGCAGAGCTATTATTGCAGAAGGATACATTTTTTTTTTTTTAATTCCTTTAAAATGCAACCTTTAGCTATTTTAGCTAGTGCTGTCTCTTACTGAGGTATCCAGATCTAACTCCATTTATTCTTTCCCTCTAAGTGTAGTACTAAAGTTTTGGAAGTGGCTAGCTACCTCTTCTCAGTATGGTGTTCCAAAGACCAAAGATTTTCTATAATCACTTTATCTACCTTTTCTACAGTAAAATGTGCCATGGAGATACCATGGAATAATAAAGAAGAAATTGGGAAGGCAAGAGGAAAGGAAGAACAAGTATTAATTTAGGGAAAGAAAAACTACCTGAGATAAATATTTTCCCAAGAGGGTAGGGGTTAAGTGACGTGAATTTTTACCTCTTCACCCTGCCTCTCAAAAAGAAAATGTCTAGGTTTACATTAACTTCAAGGGATCAAAATTCCTGTCTAGATATTTCATCCTAAAGAATCAGGAAAATTGCATCTTTTGATAATATTTGGTTCAGGTTTAAGAAAGACAGTAAGATATAAACTTCTGATTACATCAGAGTAGGAAGGGAGACTTTGCAAGTTTCATCTTTGGCAATAATGGGCTAAGAGCTATAAAATGACTTAAATTATAGGAGGCATCTTTTTTCAAATCTGCAGCTCTAATATAAAATATTCATTTTAATGCATGGTTACTTAAGTTCATTAACTGCCCCTCAGTTTCCCTAAAATCTAGTAAGCATCTTCTGTAATAAAATTCTACAGTGTTAAACACTACATACACATATGAATATATCAGCGGTAAGATGATCAAAGGCGGCTGTGAAATTCAGCATCAAGATGTTAGCAGCATACTGCATCACTAATCTTGGAGGCATACCTGCAGTTTATTTGTAAAGACTTTTTTTTTGGTGGTGGTGGTGGTGATGGAGACGGGATGAGAAAGGTACATGTGCTAATCTAGATTCCAAAAAACCCACTGCGGGTGAGTCGAGTCCTGACTCACAGTGACCCTATAGGACAGAGTAGAACTGCCCCACAGTTTCCAAGGCTGTAAATCTTTACGGAAGTAGACTGCTGCATCTTTCCCCCGTGGAGCAGCTGATGGGTACAAACCACCAACCTTTCGTTTAGCAGCTGAGCGCTTAATCACTGTGCCACCAGTGCTCCCTTAACCTAAACTACTCGCCCTTCAAAGAATTCATTTGTACTCTGTTCATCAGTATATAGGATCTGGTGTTTCTAATCACCATGGAAGCTGCCACCCATACAAACACTTGTTTTAGGAAAGCTTAGGTCTCCACAAAACTGGGTAGACTCTCATGAATTCTTATTGGAAAATATACCAACTAACCAACCTCTAAAGGGGCTAAAATAAAATCATTCTTCTAAGGGCACACACTGGAAGCTTACTATATAATTTTCCCTTGGGGACCATGCTACAAGGCCTTTTGGCAGTTCATAAATAAACTTTCTTAAGCCAAATTTGGCTTTATAATAAATATTAAGGGAGACTCTTGGATGTTTTGACAAATGCAACTGAAATAAAATAGTGATTGGCTTGAACAGGGTGAAATAATTCATCTTCTAAAACATAAATTCTAACTGGCCACTCCGTAACCTAACAGCACACGAGGAAAGACAATGGGAGGAGGAGGCTTCCAGCAGGGAAAAATATAAAAGACATTTTCCTTAAAGAAAATAAAAATCCCGTTCAGGTTAGGAAGCAGAAAAGAATTCAAAACCTTTATACAACTTGTTGTTGGTTTTTTTTGTATAATCAGTGCTTTATAAAGGTGTCCTAATTTTTATACTTTAAGGGTAAACTACCATAAAGTGAAAGGAATCCATAATCATAAGTCTCTAAACTATACAACCACCTGTGACATCCTCTGCTCAGGAAAGCATGAGATTGCTATGAATCTTTTTAAGAGTTCTTCGAGTTTCCCTTCCTTTCTAATTCCACTTTCTAAACCTCCTCGCAGCCAAAAGCCAGCCCAACTGCGACGCTGGTCCTCTAGCTTCTCATTCTACTAGGGATAAAGAGGCAGAAAATTGGGGCAGGGGAAGTGAGAACTATGTATCAATGAATCTTCTGACGATCGCAGGACGGTCAGTAGAAACAACCGGGGCTCCAGTAGACTGAAGGACGGGGCAAGTCATGGGTAGCAAAGCCTTTTCTGTTTCTCAGATTCACTTTCAGTTTCAACGCAACCCCCAAAAGTCCAGACTCATGTTTGTTCTGAGTCTCTAAGGAATGAACTGTTTTGTCATTTGTATCAGACAGATCATCTCTCAAAAACTTACAGGTATGAAACAGGCAGGGAAAAGATGGGTATAGACTGTATTAGCTCACAAAACTCATACTATAAAGTATGCTGACTCAAATTTTCTCTAATCTCACGCACCTGCACACACACTCGAGCATACATACTAAACATAAAAATTGTGCAAGATCAAGCATCAGCTTCTATTTTAAAAGCTGTAATTAAAAAAAAAAATGTAGATAGGCTCACTGCAGTTTCTTTAAAGGAATATTCAGGACTACAGTACTCCTTTTAACAAAATTCACAACTCTGTGCTAAGAACACAGTAGGTAATTGCTGTTTGACAATTACTTAACATTGCTGAGAGAATCCAGTGCCAGCTATGGAGATCAACGATAAGAACCACCTGACAACATAAAGCAATAATCTCTAAGTGATGTCACCAACTTTAACAAATCTGTTAGTAATATTCACTATGACATGATATTAGTCATCCTTGCTTCTTCGTGATCACAAGAAATAGTATCGTTTTAGGTTACATACTGAAGAGCAGCACCTGTCCTACTGCACAAAGAAGGCTGCCCACATGGATGCTCTAGAACCCCTCAATGTATAGCTGAGAGGTCTTGTCCTAATCAGTGCCAAACGTCTGCAATGCAGCCCCTGCCTGGGCAATGACTGCACATTAGTAGGATTAAATAAATGTACAAAGTACCCCTTTTAAATGGTTGAGAGGTACTTCTGCATTCAAATGTGGAATACAATAATCCAGGAAACGGAAGAGGAGAAAGAGGAAATAGTCCTTAGGTTACTGATTAAAGCAAGGTTTGATACAGGTATCCCCTCTTGTAGGCACTCAGTGGGTAGAATGTAGCCATAACAAACTTCCCATCAAACATCCTTCCAGTAAGTAACTTCTGAGCAGCTTTGGAATCACCGGCATTTGCATACTCCACAAAGACCTGTAAAAGGACAGAGAAAACAAAGCAATTCCATTTTTATCATGCTTGTTTTAGAATAGCGCTTCTCCAATTTTAATGTGCACGCATCACATGGGGATCTTGTTAAAATGTAAATTCTGCTTCATTAGGTCTAAGGTGGGGCCTGAGTTTGTGCATTTCTAAACAAATTCCCAAGTGACATCAACACTAACTGCTGGTCCCTGGGCCACACTTCTGAGCAGCAAGGTTTAGGATACTCATTGCTGTTGAGTTGATTTCAACTCATAAATACTCTACAGAACAGGGAGAGAACTGCCCCATAGGGTTTCCAAGGCTGTAAATCTTTACAGAAGCAGACTGCCACATCTTTCTCCTGCAGAGAGGGCTGGTGGGTTTGAACCGCTGAACCCTCAGTTAACAGCCGAGTGCTTTAACCAGTGTGCCACCAGGGCTCCTTAAGGTTTAATATACTTTTTTAGAACTGAGTTCAATTCTGAAAAATCTATCAAAGACAAGTTGAATGAAAAATGTCCAACCTTTTGCCCAGTTCCCACAGGACTGCCAAAAAGTACTGGCCACTTGCCAAAGACAGGTGGAACAGCCCAGAGAGCAAAGGCACTTCAGAGGTGCCTAAAAAATAGCCCTACACTTCTAGAAGTGGAAGGAGAAAAACACTGATCAAAAGCCACCGGAAACTGTGCCCATTAAAAGATTTGTGGAAGCCATAAACCATACGATAGAAAAAAAGAAGTTAAAAACTAGGTAATTTCCCATTCCAGGGCTTCTGAACTCCTGTCTGAGGTAGGTAAAGGATGTTGTTGTTAGTTGCTGTGGAGTCAATTCCAGCTCATGGCGACCTCCTCTGTGCTGAGTGGAACCGCTCCATACAGTTTTCAAGACCGTGACCTTTCGGAAGCAGATAGCCAGGCCTGTCTTCTGAGGCACCACTGGATGGATTCGAACCACCAACCTTTCAGCTAGTAGTCAAGCACTTAACTGTGCCACCCAGGAACTCCTATGTAAAGTATATAGCATAATAACTTGTAAGTTCTTTTTGTTGACCTAAAGCAAAAGTTACAGGGAGCTGAAATGACTTGTCCTTAGTTACCTGGTAAGTTGGTGAACCAGGCAATGAACTGCCTCTCCCTCCTCAGTTCCATGCTTCATTCACTAAATTAAGTCTTCTAACTGGCATGTGAGCATCCTAGGACACTCAAAGACTTTCAAAGGGGATGCAAAGATGGATAATTTGAAGGAAATAAATTTCCACAGACTTAACGTTGATTTGTATCTTTTCCTAAAACTGATCTGCCTAGGAGTTGACGCAGGTTAGCCCTTTTCATCTCTCCTTCGCAGTAGCCCATCTCTTACTTGACAAAACATGTTATTTCCCCAGACTATAAAAACCTCCAGGGCTGAAAAGAAGAGGCAATTCCAAATACAGTGTTTTTTAAAATGAAATCCTCCTTCATTGATAAACAAAGCATCATGCTCAGCCTATCACTGGTCACTCCTTATCTTACTCAAATATTTCTGTTAAGTGTGATGATGTGCGGCACCAGACCTAGAATATTTTGACCTGTGACAGGATTCTTCTGAATTCATATATACATTGTTAAAAAAAAGAGAAGTGGGACTGGTTTTGCATCTTCCACTCCAAAACTATTATCACGCTATACATTACCCTTGAAGATAAAGCAAACAGCAAATGCTAAAAGTTCCTTTTTCACATAGATAAAGGTAAGCAGCGCTTTTCAGCTATTCGTAAATGTGCCCCCCAAAATGTGTCACTAACTAGAAATAAAAGCACTTCTAATGGCCAAAGCAGTTAGTCACTTAGGCTGTTTATTTTAAATATAACTGCATGAGAAAAACTCTATGGATAAAATTTTATGTGATTTCTTTCAGATTAGGTGTACTTCACATAATCAAATTACATCAAGAAAAATATAAACAGTCAATATCCATCTTATTTTAAGTTAGAAATGCTTAATATTTTTCATCTCCTTTTTACAAAAAAATAAAAGTTTATGCTAGCTGCAGGACCAATTAGCAATAAATACTTTCTCATTAAATACAAAAGCAAAGTTAGAACTTGATGTCTGAGAGAAATAATGCTTTTTCTAACCTTTAACCTTAATTACTCCCAAAGCCATACAACAAAGTTCGCTAAATGAATGGTAAATAAAAACAGCATCTTGTTTTATAACTTATTATGAAATTATATAATCATATTACACTTGTATCATTTTAATTTTGACTTCACTACTTTTTTGAGTTGCACTATAAGATGCATTCCATAATATACTTTTCACTGGCTTTTATAATATTCCTTAAAAGGCATATGTTTACTTGAATCGAAAAATTCAAATGAAGACTGGCTTTGCCAACTAGGTCACAGAGATTTTCAATAATCTAAACAAATTAAATCTGTGGCTCCAAGATTTTATTGAAAGCCCCTTTCACTCTGCTTTAATTGGTAGTGAAAGCTCCTCAACATAGCAAATTTCCTTTCATTTCAAACCTACTGCCGTCAATTCAGACTCACACTGATACTATAGGACAGAGTAGAATGCCCCAGAGGGTTTCCAAGGAGCAGCTGGTAGATTCAACCTGCCGACTTTTATTGGTCAGCAGCCGAGCTCTTAACCAGTGCACCACCAGGGCTCCTTCCTTTCACTGATAAAGACTTTTTTTTTATATCCTCTTAAAACTGCTCCCCCCAAAATGTTCCTCTGTTCTGTGTCTGCTATTTCATTTTGGCCATTGGCTTAATATCAAGTCAGATCATGTTAGTCCTTGGTTCCAAATCCTCCAAGGCCTTCCTATCTCATTCAGAGTAAACATGATGTCAATGGCCTACAGGATCACTTTACTTGATCTGCCCCCTCTGCTTCCTTACCTCTTTGGGCTCATTCTCTCCTTTCCTCACTCTGCTGCAACTGCACCAGCCTCCTCGAACCTGTCAGGCATAGTCAGGGCCTTGGAACTTGCTGTTTCCTTTCCCTAGAATTCTCTTCCTCACCAGCTTCAAATCTTGACTCAAATGTAACCTCGGTATGTTCTTCCCTAGCACCCTACTTAAAACCACAATCCACCTCACTCCAGCATTCTTGCCCAAGCCTCTTGCTCGATCTGTTTTTCTCCAGAGCACTTATCACTATATATAGTTTTGTCTGTTTTGATCACTGTTGTATGCTGAGTGCCTAAAACGTAACTGATGCTCAGTAAATACTGGTTGCATGAATACACATTAATAAAACATTTGGTTCAGCATTTGATACTGAACAAGGCAAATATTATTATTACTAGGTTGGCAATACATTTTCACTGACTAGAGTGAAATTTCTTCCATTTTTTTTTTCAGTTGCCAAGAATTTTCGTAATACTGAACCACAGGATAAAACAAAAACCCTCAACCAAAGGTGATTTTGTCCCCAGGAGACATTCTGCAATGTCTGGAGACATTTTTGGTTGTCACAACTCGAGAAGCCGGGAGGCTCTGGCACTTAATGGGTAGAGACCAGGAATGTTACTGGACATCCTACAACGCACAGGACAGCCCACAACAAACAATCACCCACCCAAAATGCCAAGAGTGCTGAGGCTGAGAAACCCTGAGACAGAATAAAACAACATTCTGTTTCCCGAACTAC